CCACAGAGGCTCAAGTGTGCAGCCAAGAGAGTCTTTCATAATATAAAGACTTTTTTAATACTCTGAATAACAACTTTTCCCCTACGCTATTCAATATGGCAGCCACTAATGGCATGTGGCTATTTATAGTTTAACATTAATTAAAATAAAACTCAGAAGCCTATCATTTGGTTCCCACATGTGTTTATTAGACCCCTTACCAACAAAACTGGGAGCCCACCCGTGTGTTTGTGGTCAGCAGTCTAAGGCCACAGCTGCACACAGTGTGACAACGAAGGTGAGCTCTACGGAACATGCTGTTTGGCGACTTCCTCATTGTGCAAACATCACCGAGTGAGTGAGCTTACACACACCCAGAGGGCAAGTGTACCAGAGCCTGCAACTACTGATCACATACACAGGCTGCCTGGTATGCGGTGCGCGACTACATCCCTTTAAGATACACACCGAGGCCCTGTCAGACTCGTGGGCGGACAAGCAAACAAGCACACGAGCTCTCAGGTGGCAGTGGGCTCGGGAACAACAGAAACTGAGCGTGGGAAAAAGGGAAGGAAACAAATCTGATCAAATCTTTCTTGAGAACTCTTTTCGTGGTACACCACACTTCTTGGAAGCCTTGCAGTGACGATGCAAATGTCAAGTAAAAGCCCTCAAAGGGAGGCAGTCCATTAAAATGCTTATGCAGGGCCCCGCATCTGGCTCTGAGTTACCTTTGCCCTATTGGTTTTCACAAATCATGACGAGGATTGACAGCAAAAATAAAAGACAAAAAAACTGCACTGTGACTTGTCTGCTAAAGTATGAAATTTGTTCCAAAGATTATGACAATTACAGATGAATAAACCTAAGCAACGCCCCCAACACAACACTTTCACCTGCCGTTTGCTGAGTGGAAGACTGCCCACCACTCGTGAACAGGACTGGCGCCCACCACACTGAGGCAGCAAAGGCCAGCAGTGCCGGCCACGCAGTCACCTCACATTGCGTCTCCGGGCAGAGCCAGAAGAACGTATTGGTTTCAAAGACATAAAGCCAACTCTCAGGAGGTGGATTTTTGGGAAAAACAAAACGTGGGACTTGAGGATGAGTTTTGTAGTGCGGCAGAGTGACTGGCGGAAGTGAGTACAGCACATGGCTCAGAAGCCCGTGTCCTCACAGATTCCAAGTCCAGAGTTCTTTCGACTGCTACGGTATGGACTAAGTGATGTGCACACTCCTTCCTCTGACGTCATCACACGTACTGACTGTGTCTGTGTTAGTATGACAGCGTGACACTGGAGCACTTCAGTGTATGACACTAGTCAAGCACTGTGCCCCCTTCCTTGAGTTGTCTCTACAGCTTTTCCCTCTCTGATGTGTGTGCACAGGCTTCCACTGCGCTGCAGCTCTCAGGCTTCCATTAATCCTGATGCCTAGCAGACAACCTTGCACACAGTAAGCACTCAAATATTTGATGGACAGATATGAAGAAAAGGCCTATACAAAAAGATAAAAATCGTATAATGACTACGCACAAAAAACCCACTTCTTTGTTTACCTTACTCCCAAATTAGGCGGGAACTGTTAGCAGACAAATTTTCTTCTGGCAAACAAACAAAAAGCAACAAAACATCAGAGCAGCAACACAATCTCAAACGCATCCTTTTAGCCAAATGACTGAACGAATATTAATACCGACAGGTCAGACTTCAAAATGAAACTCTTTGCAGCAATAAACCAATGTTTCTATCTGACTTTAAGGTAAAATCCTGTGTGCTTAGAAATACGCATAATCATTTGGGAAGTATTTCAAAATCGTACTTTGGTAGCAAAATCCAAAAGCTATTCATTCAATTTCAATATTTACAATCTTAATACTCCCATTGCACAGGCAAGAGGACTGAGGCAGAGCCCAGGGAGGGAAGTGATGTGCTCTAAGGTTGTTCAGGAAGGTGGTCGGGAAAGAGGCTGGTATAGAACCCAGCTTTCTGACGCCTTCATATGACAAGAGAACTGCTACCTCAGCATGTTGAAACTATGATTAAGGGAGACCCTCCTGAAAAATAAAAACTTAAGTTATATATACCTCTGCCCTCCTTTCAAACTTAGACGAAATCAGAGTTTTCAAAGTTGAAGTCTGATAGGTATTTCATACATATGAGGCCAGAAATGTAACTGATGCATGCAGGGTTTCTTCCCTGTGAACCTCTGACATGAGCTCACCTTTAAGCGAGCTTGTTATATTAGTCCGACCGAGGATTCCTCCTGGCGCATCTCCCTGCACCACTTCGTTTCTGTTTTGTAAAATCTAAAGCAAAAAGGATTACTGAATTTCTTTTTGCGGTTTTCATCAAAACAATAAACTGAAAGATTCGTAATTACTTGTTCTAAATCACCACTTCTGAACCTGGGATCTAAATGTTTGCTTCCAGGGCTTTGGGATTCTCTGAGAACTTTTTAAGGTTTTTATTTTCATGAACACAACCCAGATTACTGGGGACCTTCACGTCATAACTGTGTAAGGCTGATTTCACTAGCCACATTTGCTTCTATCCTTAAAGTTACATCCACAGGAAGTCTCTTAGAAGGTCAGAGCTTAGTTTTCAATGCAGTATTTTTCAAACTGGGTTTCAAAGTCTGTTTTGGGGTTAATGTTTAAGTAACAGAGCTCCAGATTTTTATACTTGCCAAAATTCTTCTTCTTGTTTATTTGGTGAATTTAATAAATATGTATCCAGAGCCTCCTATGAGCTAGGCACTGGAGATACAGTATCTCCAGTGAATAAAAGTGAACTTGTCCTCGCAGAGCTTATAACTCCAACAGGGAAGACCAACAGTGTTCACAAAGAAGGCTGTCCCTTGGTTGAAACCATGTAAGGAGTACAGCCCTTAAAAAACAAACATTTATCTGCGCTCCTTGTCAACTGCTACTGTGGCTCAGAGAACCCATTACTGTCATCTATGTATTCTCAAAATATTCTAAGAGCTTGAGGTCAATTTGGTCTTATTTGTTTGGAGACAGGCAAACAGATCCTTTAAAAAAAACTTTTTTTTTTCCAGAAAGCTCAATCTCCTTTCTTTGCTTTAGGATATGTTTCTCATTATTGGACAAATATGCAACCCAACTAGAGATTTCCTGGTCATCTGAGGAACAATTTTATAGATACATTTATGTTCTGTGAAGTTTTGACAGCACAAGACTTTTTCCCTTTGGGAAATTCCTATGGACTAAAACTGGTCAAGCCAAAACAGTCACAAATGCCTAAGGTGCACTTCTAAACTCAAGAAAAGCTCACGGATAGAAGAAGCTCATCAGCTCAGCACAAAACTCTCCCCGCCCCAAAATGCACCTTAATGACCTTGAATAGAAGAATGAATTGAGGTTCAGAGAACAGTGGTTTCCACTAGCTACTACAGTTGTTGACCCTTGAAAAGCACAGAGGCTGGGAGCACCAACCCCCAATGTCATGGAAAACTGGAAAGCAACTTGTGACTCCCCAAAACCTCAACTATAGTCAGCTCTTCCCATCTGTGGATTCAACCGCCACTGGGAATGAGAAAATAAAATACTGTCTTCAATCAGGGCTGGCTGAATCCACGAATGTGAACCTAGAACCAACTCTGTATTTATTGAAAAAACTACATGTACAAGTGGACCCACACAGTCCAAATCCTGTCTATAAACTACTGTTCTAATGACCTTCCTGTTAAAAATAAAGAGGGAGGTGATAAGACCCAAAGGTACATGTATCAAGTAAACCAACTTAATTTTGTGTTTGAGAAATGGGTGCCAAACTATCCTTGACCAATAGTTAACAGGTTTCAAATGTCCTAGTTTCTGGACTAAATTTTCTAAGGAACAAGGCCCCAGATGAACTCCTTGAGCCAAGATCTCTTGAACTTCAGAGTGGTCTCCTCCTTTGGTGTGGTTATCGTTGTCCTTACTGGGTTTCTAACCTCCAGGCAGTTCCAGAAAAAGTGCCATCCCTACTAGGAAAGAAGGACACAGACACTGTGACTATGAAGAAGAAGCAGTTCAGTACAAACTGGGAGAAAAAAAATCTTTTAGCAGACACTGTGAGGAGAGAACTAATTTGCCTAAAACACAATGTCAAATCAGCTTATATTGCAAACTGGAACACCTAGATTGACAGTCAGTAAAAAGAGCAAACAATAACCTGGTTGCTGGTAGAATTTCTAGCCCAAATTAAGCTTATGCATTTAAACATCCATGTACACAAGGACAGCCAGCTGCACACTGAGAGCTTTACTTTTCACCACCACATCAGGCACAATAACTAAAGCAGGGGAAACCGGGTTTTCATGAAGGCACTAAGTCAGAAACACACCTCAAGTCCACATAACTCTGGAGGCATGGACACTCCAAATTTCAGACCAACTTTCGGCCAAGCTAACTTCGCGATAACAATGCACTATCTGGCTCCAATCAAGCCTTTCCAATTCTCCAAAGCATCTACAGTCTTACTTGTCCTTCATAGCTCAGGTCAGAAGCAAGACCACCGGCACAAAGGCCAGTCATCAGAAGGCGCTTTTTGTATGGCTCTGCCACTGCATTCATTTGAAAATTCCGAAACTGGGGGCCCACCGGCCCCCCCGCCCTTGCTACTCTTCTTCAATACCGTCCCGGTAAGCCTCTGCCTAGGCGCCCCCTCTGCTTAGAACAAAGCGAGGCCCCACCGGTGGGGTGAGAGGCGCCCGGGCTTGGGGATGCCCACCGCGCGCAAGGAGAAACCACCAACTTCAGAACGCAGGAACGTCTTCCATTGGCAAGAAAGAGGGGCGGCGGCAGTCACGCCCAACTTCAAACTCAGGAAACCTACGGGCTGGCGGCCATCTGGAAAACAACCCCTTCCCAGAGAGAGAAGAAAAAGGAAGAGAGACGCGAGGAGCCCACCGGTCTCGGGAAAGAGACCGGACCGCGGACCGGCCCCGCCCCCGAGGTCCGTTCCCCGCCTCCTCTCTGCCGCGGGTTCGCTGCCCCGGGCCGGGCGGCCGGTTACCTTGATGCGCTCCCGGCACTGGGACGGGGTCCGTTCGTAGCCCAGCTCGGCCAGGGCCCGGGACACGCGCTCGTACATGGCCGGCCCGGGGGCCTTGCTGCCGAATACCGTGCCGGCTCCCTCCAGCTGCTGGTACCGTGCCTCCACCAGCCGCTCGTTTCCCCACACTGCGATGAGCGCGTTGGTCTCGGCCGGCGTCCACGACATGCCGCGGCAGGCGGCGGCCGGGGCTCCCCAGGACGAGGCGGCGCTGCGCCCCCCAAGCCCCAGCCCGAGACCCCCTGACGGCGCTGCCCCCGAGCCCGCTGCACTGCCAGGCCCGAGCGGGGAGGCGCCTCGAGGCGTGGAAGGGTCGGACAGTGAAGGGTTTCCGTCGCTCAGGCCACCAGGAGAGGCAGGGGACAGCACCTCCATCTTCGGGATTTTAAGCGGCGAGTTGGCGGGCCGCTCCGAGCCACAGGGCGCAGCCATCTTCCTAGCGGCCGCCACTGCACCGCTCGGAAGTGACGTGCACGCACTTCCGGCCGCCGCAGTCTTCGGAGCCGCCGAGGGGCCTGGCTCGACCCGGGTTTCGCGGCAAGCGGACTTCGCTGCCGGGCACTGGCCGTCTACTCTCCGAGGTCTCTCTCCGCGCGCCCGCCCACGCCGCGCGCTCCTCGGTCGGGGAGGAGGCGTGCCAGGGCCCCTTGCGGAGAAGGGAGGGGGCATGAGGGCGCGCCGAGGTGCGGACGGAGTGGAGCCTCCCCACTTCCTCTCCAGTCTCAGCCCCCGCGAGGGAGGGCGCCGCGCGGGGCCGCGGTTAAGGGGGACTAGACCATCGCGCTTCTCTCTGCCCCCACCCCGGCCACCCCTCCCTTCAGCCCGGCCCCGGGCGGAGGGCGGACGTTCAAGTAGAGGCCGGGGAGCCTCGGGAGGTATATCCAGGGAGTCTGAAGGGCGAGCATCTCTGGGAGAGGCTTTAGAAAGCAAGGCTCCGTAGCTTTTCAGGAGACCCAAACGCATTATTTAAAGAACAGCAACTCTGATTCCAATTATGATAGATTTTTCCCGTCCGTGTGGGTAGGTGTGACCGTTTGTAGAAGAATTACATAGCTTACTGCGTTTGTACAGTTTATAGTTTACATATGTTCGAACTCCGGAGCCAGCAGAAAAGTTACCAATACTTTGCAATACCATTCTCCCTGATTTGGAAGTCTAATCGTTTTCCCTCTGTTTTTCATTCTTCAGAGTAAGTTAGAAAGAAGACTTCAATTATAACAGGTCTTTGTGACCTCTGGTGATTAGTGTATTAATTGCTCCAGAAGTCTCCTTAAAGGCCTGCGATTTAAATAACACTGGCACAGGAAAACCAATACGTAGCCGTTAGGTATTTCAATATTCTCGAAAGCCAAGAATCTAATTGGCTTGGGTCTTTTACTTAAAAATCTCAGCGGATTTTTTTTTTCAAATTTGAGTAAGTCATGCAACACTTTTAAAAATAGCAAATATGGTAGGTTTAAAAAAATAGAGCTGGGGTCAGTTGTATTTTTAACTCTCGAGCGTCATCCGTGAGAATGCTACGGTTGTCATTGGAAAGCTAAAGGAGTCGCCCTAATGATAAAGTGAAGGAGATAATTGTCTTCATATGTCATACTAAAACGCCACCATAGTTTCTAAGCTATCAGTATAAAGAATCATAAAGAAGATCCAGAATTTATGCTATCTCTTCTTTTTCTGAAACAAAAAGATACGGTCTAGCACTTGAGTTAAGATGGTGGGATCTAGAGTCAGCATGGCTTCAAATCCCGGCTCTGCAGTCTCAGCCGTCTTAACCAACCTGAGTGCCTTGGTGTCTTCATCTGTCAGATGAGGACCTCCCAGCATTCTTGTGAGAATGCAATGAGTTAACACAGGTGAAGCCCTTAGAATAGGGCCTAGCTCACAGTTCACATTATGGGATCATCAGCTCTTAATCTCGGTTTTCCTATATTCTAGTGAATAGGATCTTTCCTTTGTCACTTTCTACCACTGCTTTCATTGTTTTATTTCGGGTGCTAGTGGAATCTCAAACATCTATCAAAGCAAATCCACTCTCATTCAGTCCAACAGTAAGTTTTTTAATGTTATATTTAACGTGTATGAAAGGGAGAGTCGTGCCTAATCAGGCACTAAACCAGAGACTCCAAAGAGATTTAAAATCACTACTTAATCTTGTTCTCTTTTTCCCCACAAGCCTAAAAAAAAAGAAAGAAAGAAAAGAAATCCTCTTGCCTTCTATTGTTAATTCTGGATGATTCTCAAATCAACTCTGACTCATGAGGGAAACCTTCCTAGCTAAAGTGGGTTGACTGAGAAGTTTAGGGAGACTTATGCTGGCTTGCCTGTCTTCATAATTTATCACTTTTTTATGCATCACTCAAAGTTTTTAATCTGATTTTGAATATTTGACAAATGAAATCATGTGTATTCACTGACTTACCTTATTCAATGTTATCTTTTTAATTAGGATTCGTCTATTCTGTATGAGGCTGTGGTTTGTGCATTATTGTTGCTGTAAAATATTCTATTTTATGAATACATCTCATTTTATTTATCCATCCTACTGTTGAATTTTCGGGTTGTCTCTAATTTAGGATATTATGAGTAATGTTGCTACAAACATTCTTGTACATGTCTCCCCGTGCATATGTGCAAGTATTTCTGCAGACTGTATACCTTCCTTCCCCTCCCACCATCCCTCCTTTTTCTTTTTGCTTCTTTCCCTGTGGATACCCAATTATCCCAACTCCATTTATGGAAGAGACCATTTTTTCCCTCTTTGGCAGTGCCATCTTTGGCATAAATCGATGTCCATATGTGCTTGGGTCTGTTTCTGGGCTCTCCTGTTACATGGGTCTATTTGTCTTTTTGTTTTTCTGTTTGTGTTCCTTGTGACAACATCACACTGCCCAACTAATGTCTCACACTGGCTTATGATACATCTTACATCAAGTAGAAAATGTCTCCTCTTCTTCCTCCTCTTTTTCTCCCTCCACCTTAAAGAGTGGCTTGTTATTCTTGATCCTTCACATTTCCAAAGACATTTTAGAATTAGCTCGTCAAGTTCTACAGAAAAAGCTGTGGGTGTTTTAATTGGTATTTATTGACTTTATGGACCAACTTGAGAAAAACTGACATCTTCATAGTAATCAGTCTTACAATCCTTGAAAATGATATATCCCTTCATTCATTTAGTTTTTAGTTTCTCTCAATAAAGTTTTATAGTTTTCTGCATAAAATTCTTACACACATTTTGTTGGATTTATTCCTAGGTACTTGATACTTTTTAACACTCTTGTAAATGATATCATTTTTGCAATAATTTTCTAATTATTTTGCCGGTACAGTAGTTCTCCCTCATCAGCATTTTCCCTTTCTAGGGTTTCAGTTATCCGTAGCCAACTGCTATCCGCCCTACCTGGTTTGAAGCTGTAATCCCCCATGGCTAAGGCTGAGTGAGAGACCTTGGGGCCATGAGCCACTAAGGAGACAAAGCTTATCTTCTTGGCAAGGGCGCTGCCTCTGTCCCCTTTACTTCATCCTGCTTGGCCCCAGGCGGGTGACTGATTAGGCAATGATGGGTAAGATTCCTCAAGAGAGGGATGTCCTAAGACAGGCACTGTCTTGAAAGGACCCTCAGGGAAGGACTTAGAGGGGCTATAGAAAAGGAGGTGATGGACCCTCAACCCCTCCGTTTTGATATAACCCAAGTTCTCATTCTATTTTCAGGAAGTCTCCTAATCTCTTGGTTGCCTTACTTCTCCTGCCTGACTTAAGCCTAAAACAATGCTGGAGGGCAATGCAGCCCTGGGCAGGAACAGGCCTAAGAAAGAATGCATAAAATCCTGTGAAACCTGCTTTGCTAAGAATGCCCTCAGTTTTCTAATAAGGGTCCAAGCATGAAGTGAGTCTGTTTCTCAAAGTTTCATAGCCCTTTAGCTAACTGACCCTGACTCACAATAAGCCCTCATAGTTCTTTGTATGTTATCTTTCTATTGTTTGATTGTTACTACCTGATGATGATTGATGAGCTTTACCTTTATTCCTGTGCAAATTGAACCCAGTAAAAGCCCACAGAGGAACAGGCTCCTGGCCCTTCTCCTTTGAGAGACCAGCCACCTTTCCTCCCCAAGCAGATTGTGTCTTGGTAGATTTATTCTCATCCGTGGTAGATGGGGGGGGAGCCCTGCAGGCAAACCTCCCCCCCCGAAACTGCAGTCTGAAAGTGGTGGAAAATTCCAGAAATAAGCAATTCATAAACTTTACATTGTACAATTTTCTGAGTGCTGTGATGAACTCCTGTGGCCTCCCACTCTGTCCTCCCAGGGGCGTGACTCATCCCTTTGTCCAGCATCTCTATGCTGTACCCTCTCCCCACCAGTTAGGCACTTAGGAGCCCTCCGGGTCATCAGATCAACTGTCGCCATGTCACAGTGTGTGTGTTCAAGTCACCCTTATTTCAGTTAATAATGGCCCAAAGCTCAAGGGTAGGGAAGCTGGCAATTTGGATTTGCCAAAGAGAGGCTGTAAAGTGCTTCCTTTGAGGGAGAAAGTGATAGTTCTTGACTTAATAAGGAAAGAAAAACATTGCATGCTCTGGTTGGTATGATCTACAGTAAGAATGAATCATCTATCCAAGAAATTGTGAAGAAGGAAAAAAAAATTATGCTAGTTTGGCTGTAGCACCTCAAACTGCTAAAGTTATGGCCACAGTGCAGGGTATGTGCTCAGTTAAGATGGACAAGGCATTGAATTTGTGGGCAGAAGACATGAACAGAAAGTGTGTTCTGATCAGTGGTGACGTGTTGCTCTGAAGAAACTGCTGAGCCTACGTGAAGGTGTCAGCAAGGGGTCCCATAAAATGAGTGACACCAAGTCATTCACTGCAAGTAAGGGGTGTTTATACAAGACACTGAGTGAGAGAGAGCATTTACATAACTTTTATTACAGTGCATTATTATAATTGTTCTATTTTATTACTTGTTATTGTTAATATTTTACTCTACCTAATTTATAAATTAAAATTTATCAAGGTAGGTATATATAGAAAAAGCATGGTATGAACAGGGTTTGGTACTATCTGAGGTTCTGGGCATCCCCTGGCGGTCTTGGCACAAATGGCACTGACCGACATGTGTGCACCATATCTGACACCTTCCAACAGAAATCTGTTTTCTCCCCCTGGACCTGGGCAAGTCTTGGTGACTACCTCAGTGAAGCAAACGTGGCAGAAATGACACTGTGGCTTTCAAGGCTAGGTTTGGAAATAAGCTGAAATAAACTTCTGCCAGTTTCTCTTGAGATACTTGGTCTAAAAACCTTCAGCAACTATGTAAGAAATTCAGCCACCCTAAGTCCACACAGAGAGAGACAGAGAGAGAGAGACAAGGAACTAGATGTGTTCCAGCCTCCAGGTGTCCCTCTCTCCAGCCCAGGCTCCAGGCATGCGAATGAAGGAGCACTGAAGTGACCCAGCCCCAGCCACCGCCTGACTGCAGCCATATGAGAGGCCCTTAGCTAGAGCTCCTAGCTGATCCCAGGCACCCTGGGACACTGGTTATTGTTGTTCCGTGCTGCTAACTTGCAGGGTGTTTTTTAATACAGCAATGAGTAACTAAAACAACGATCTTTTCTACGCAGCACACCAGCCTCGACTCCCACTCTTGCCACATGTGACCTATCAAGTCAAGTCGTTTCTGTTTTGGGCCTTTGGACATGTCTCAGATCCTCATCT